GGTGGCTCCACGCTATGAACCAGGAAACAAAGGAAATAATCGCGAGATTATGATTTATGGTAGTTCTATTCATCACTGTCCCAGGCAGGATTACAGACATGGAAAAGGGCCCAAAATTAAGACACATGAGAGTAATATAAAAAAGCTTTGCTAAAAAATTATGGAAACCTTTATTAAACAAATGTTACAGAATGTGAAGCAATTGTTTCTGGACATATCTTCCATCTAGGTCTATATACCAGTGAAGGCATTGTTTCCATCTCTCCACCCTGGTGCACTCTTTGATTGATAGTATGTTGAAATGGTAATTTTGGCACCCTCAAGGGACTCTGATTTCACAAAGCAATTCCCTTAATGGCTAATTCCTTGAGTGGCTAATAAATTTTTAGATTTCAAAATTCAGATCTTTTTCACTTGTAAGTTTGCATCTAGTTTTTTCTTATACTGTAGTTTTAATCTAGGGTTTTGATACATCTCATAAAAAGGAAAATATAAAATCTGGAAATAGAGTGGAAGTGAAAAACTTCAAGGTCAATAGCCCATCCTGTTTGGGTTGGGGACGCAAATAATGAGGGTTCCTTCAACGAGGAAGGGCAGTCAAGATACAAAAAGTGCAAGAAGTCACAGGAAATGCCTTTTCCCAATGAGAAAGATAAGACGAACCTAATGATTAGGAGGAAGAGGGTACTGGCCGCAGTTACCCAACTGATGTTCAACAAGCTCTCATTTGGATTTGCTTGAAAAATTATTTCACAGCATTTTAATTTTCCCCTTTGAGAAAGCTCTCATGTGGAATTTCTTGAAGCACAAATTGTTGAAGAACAGAATAAAGGCATCTTTAGCTGGTGCTTGAGGCAGCTACAAGGGTAAAGCTTCTGCATCGGCTCAAAAGGTCAGGATCGTACGAATGCTGAAACAGAAAAAGGAGAGCTATGTTTTAACCCTTAAATATTCCGTGAAAGTCCAAGGAGCTCCCCGCCGCCATTCCCAGCTCCGTGTGTTCAAGTGAGAGGGCCGTTTCACGTTCCCTGGTTCTCATGTTTTCTCCAGCCTTAAACTGAATCATCAACGTCTGGTTATGCCTGCAATTTAGATTTTATTTGCCCCTAGTTAGCATTCTCATCAAGACCATTTTAAAGGGTCGGAGCACCTCGCGTAATTATGATATGAAACAACAAAGGGGGTATAGCACGCCTCTGCTACTTGCCATGTATTTTGTAGATGCTTTTCATGCTTTATCTCATTCAGACCTCAACTGACACAACATTAGGAGGCAGGTTCTTTTTTTTCCTTTTAAAAATCATTTTATTGGGGGCTCATACAACTTTTATCACAAGCCATCCATCCATCCATTGTGTCAAGCACATGTGCACCCTTGTTGCCATCATCATTCTCAAAACATTTGCTTTCTACTTGAGGCCTTGGTATCAGTCCCTCATTTTCCCCACTCCCCTCCACCCCTTCCCTTATGAACCCTTGATAATTTATAAATTATTATTATTTTGTCATGTCTTACCTGTCTGACATCTCCCTTCACCCACTTTTCTGTTGTCTGTCACCCAGGGAGGAGGTTATATGTAAATTCTTGTGATCGGTTCCCCCTTTCTCCTCCCACCTTCCCCTTCCTCTTCTGGTAGTGCTACTCTCATTATTGGTTCTGAGGGGTTTATCTGTCTGTCCTGGATTTCCTGTGTTTCCAGTTCTTATCTGTACCAGTGTACGTCCTTTGGTCTAGCCGGATTTATAAGGTAGAATTGGGATCATGATAGTGGGGGGTGGTGGGGAGGAAGCATTAAAGAACTAGAGGAAAATTGTATATTTCATCATTGCTACATCGCACCCTGACTGTCTCGTCTCCTCCCCACGATCCTTCTGTAAGGGGGTGTCCAATTGCCTAGAGATGGGCTTTGGGTCTCCACTCTATACTGCCCCTCATTCACAATGATATGTTTTTTTGTTCTTTGATGCCTGATGCCTGATCCCGTTGATTTGACAGCTTATGATCACACAGGCTGGTGTGGTTCATCCATGTGGGCTTTGTTGGTTCTGGGCTACATGGCCGCTTGTTTACCTTCAAGCCTTTAAGACCGAAGATGCTATATCTTTTGATAGCCGGGCACCATCAGCTTTTGTCACCACATTTGCTTATGCTCCCATTTGCCTTCAGTGATTGTATCGGGAAGGTGAGCATCATGGAATGCCAGTTTAAGAAAACAAAGTATTTTTGCATTGAGGGAGTACTTAGTGGAGGCCCAATGTCCATCTGCTACCTTAATACTAAACCTATAAATATAGGCTCATAGATCCATTTTCCCATCGTCATAAGGAGGCAGGTTCTAATATCATTTCCCTGATAGAGATTAAAAATAACTGGAAGGTAGATAACTTGCTCTCAGTTATACACCTGGTATGGAGTGCTGGGATTCAAACACAAAGTTGCACAGATGACAAGATGATAGGTAGCTTGCCGGAAGTAATTGATAATTTAATAAAGACTCTGTTGAAGGCTTCATAGAGACTTAATAGAGAGATGCTTAAATATTCATAGACATAGATAATTAAACTGAATCCTTATCTTTGAGAGAATAGAAATGTAACATTACATTGAAACTAATAATCTTTCTAAAAACTATCCTCTGAAAGGTAAATACTGAAAAAAAGGATCTCCATGTCTTTTAAATGTTTATTTATTTATATGTATATCTAGTAAGATAAATACATATAGATAATTTGGAAAGTACAGGATAGTGTCAAAAGGTAAAAATATAATCTGGAGAGAAGCTGTTAATATCCTCTTAGAATGTTATCACATTTTTCCTAGACATATATACAATTATTACTGTTCCTGCTTGACATCATATATAAATTTGTCTTCTCTATTTTATAACCTAAAATTATATCACGAGACTTTCCCAGTGAAATGGAAATTTTTCCTCTTAGTGACTTTATTGATTCTAGTATAAGGCTGAACCTTATTGAACTATTTCATTAATGTTGAACTTTATGATGTTTCCAATTTGGATGTTATAGAAAAACCTGTTTTGATTTTTTAAAATACACATGTATGAGAACAATAAGGCTGTCTGCTCCCATAAAAATTTATCAGAGATTTCGTCATGCTTGGCTTCACAACGGATGTTCAAACTGAAACTAAGAGATCAGAGGGTGTACTATATTGGGTAAATTCATTGCAGAAGACCTATTTAAAATGCTGAAAAGCAAAGATGCTACTTTGAGGACTAAGGTGCAGCTGATCCAAGCCATACTATTTTCCATGGCCTCATACACATGTGAAAGGTGGACACTAAATAGGGAAAATGGAGGAAGAATCAAGGCATTTGAATTATCGTGCTTCCAATGAATACTGAAAACACTATGGACTTCCAAAATAAAAGAAACATGTTTGTCTTGGAAGAAGTACAGCCAGAATGCTTCTTAGGAGCAAGGATGGTGAGACTTTGTGTCATGCACTTTGGACATGTTCTCAGGTGAGACCAGTCCTTATAAAAGGACATCATGCTTGTTAAAGCAGAGGGGCTATGAAAAAGAGGAAGACCCTTAACAAGATGGATTGGCTGCGATGATGGGTTAAAAGATAACAATGATTGTGAGGATGGCACAGGACTGGGCAGTGTTTTGCTCTGTTGTGCACAAGGTCACCATGAGTCAGAATGGACTCAATGTCAGATAACAACAACAACAACAACAACAACAACATCACGGAAATGGGATTAATGATGGTGGGCACACCTGATTATTTCTGTAGAATATATTTCTAAAAATGAAATTTGTGGGACAAAATATTTCAACTTAAAAAAAAATAAATTGCTGATCCATTATTAAATGGCTTTCTTCAGAGGATGTAATAATTAATCCTCCTGTAAACAACATTTGAAAGTGCCCATTTCCCTTACCCTTGTCCATATTAAGTGTTATAATTTTTAATCTTTGCTTATTTAAAAGGTAAGTGTGGGTGCCTAAGAGATACTATTTAAAGTTGAAAACCTCATGAGAAGAAGTGAGTGAGAAAGTCCAAAAGGCAGGTGGGAATGGACTACAATCAATTGCTTGGTAGTTGTCATGTCTCATATATACGTGTAGATGACAAAATTCCTCTGATATGTGTTTGTGAACGTTAAATATTAGAGGTAGAATAAGATGGGATTGACCTGTTTTTCTCACCATTGGTGACAGTGGAAGATGGACATTTAAAATAGCATGGTGCACCCTTCCCCTTATAGTAATTTTTTATTTGTGAAAAATTCATTGTAAATAGCAAAAAGAAAGAAAACCCTTGCAAGGAAAATCAAGTGAAAAAGTCTGTATGGAAAGCAACGCTCAGGTGGGTCCAAGGACTCCCCTAAGAAGAGCTTTGGGGACATGATGCTGATGCAGCATTCATGACCCACTAGGGAGAGGCTGGGCCTGCACCACTCTCAATTGTGACTGCCCACCTCGGATGCTCTTTCCTTGAAAGGGCTAGTGCTCGCTAAGGAAGGTAAGAGTGGCTCTGATCAGTCACATTCCTGTAACCAACAAAATTTGATTACAGCTGAATTGGAAATGCAAAACATTAGGATCTTCAATGTTCTACCTGTAAAAACTGACCTGGTAATGGAAAACCAAAGCATTAATGTTCTCACCCTTCTTGCTCAATGGATCAAATCTCTGAGATACATATTTTTTCTGACCAACCAATTACAATGAAAACAAAATAAACAAACAAAAAACCCAAACTTAAACTCTACCTCTTTCCAGAGCGAAGAAGATCAAACGCTTCGTTGATTTTTTCGAAAGGTAAAACATGGGTTATGATTGAATCCAGTGAAAACTTCTTAGCCATGAAGTCACTCACCAGTTTGGGCACAGAATCTTTACTTTTGAAGCCTGAAAAGAAGAAACCATCATTGTTAAGGTCAGCCAGGGGGAGTGTAGAAGAATCACGGAGGAGTTTTCTAAAGAGAAAGAAAATGCATGTTTATAAAAAAAGTGATGGTATGTCTATTACTTGGTTAGTGAGAGTAGATGCTTCAAAAATCTTTTTGCAGTGTTTGATTTAAATTAAAAAAAAAGTTTTATCTTCACCCACTGAGGAATTATGGTACAGATGCATCTACCCAGAATTAAAGAGCAAACTTCACATTTGTCTGCAGGTGAGCACAGTGCAGCCATGCTGTGAGCCCTGCTAGGTACTCTGGAGCCCTTGGTTGGCACAATCAGTCAATGGGCATGGCTTCTGACCAAAGGCTGGCAGTTTGCGTCTATTCAGAAGTGCCTCAGAAGAAAGGCTGAGTGCTGTACTCTTGAGAAATCAGCAATGGAAAACCCTGTAATGTGCATTTCTCTGGCACACACAAGCCGCCATGAGTTGGAATTGACGTGAGCACAACTGGTTTGGTTGGTACTATGCATTTCAGTGTCATGCTGCCACAGGATGAAAGGTGGTGCTGAAAAATGTTCCTTTATGAGGATCCAGGAAGGAGGCTACCAGGATACCGGGAAGAACAGGATGGATTATTTTTACACCCAGTTGATGTGGAAAGGACCCCTAATGACCAATGGCTTAGCACATCGTTACCAACTAAAAGGTGGGTGGTTTGAACCCACCCAATGGCTCTGTGAAAGAAAGACCAGGCAACATGCTTTCATACAGATTTTAACCATCCAAACCCTCTGTCATTGAGTTTATTCCAGCCCATAGGGACTCTTTTCATGGAATTGCCCATGGGGCTTGTAAGGCTGTACATCTTTATAAAAGCAATATGTTTCTCCTGTAGTATGGCAAGTGGGTTTGAACCACCAATCTCAGTGTTAGCAGCAGAGTGCTTTAACCACCGGGCCATTAAGGCTCATCCCATTAATATTGTAACCTAGATCACCTATGGAGGTAGTTCCACTTTGTCTCATGGGACTTCTGTGAAACAAAGTCAACTTGACGACACCTAACAACCACCACAGCAGGGATTTGGAGCCTATAGCTACAATGCAAAACCCACTGCCAGAGAATCGATTCTGGCTCATAGCAACCCTATGTAACGTGTCTTGGGCTGTAATTCTCCACAGGAGTAGATAGCCTCAACTTTCTCCTATCAGGAGGCTGGTGGGTTTGATCTATCAACCTTGTGTTTAATAGTTCAATCTCCACCTGATAGTGCCATCAGGAATCCTTATAGATGCAACAAGAAATTTAATTTATTTTTAATTAGGTTGGTTCTCAAAATCTGGCTTTGTCATGGGCAAAAGGGGGAAAAAAACCAACCAAAATGATAAAAATGTGACCCTCCAGCATATCTACATACCGCCAAAAACTGCTCCTTTCCAGGTGCGTCCAGTCAACAGTAGCATAGGGTTCATCTCAAGGTTTTGGGATCCAGGAGGTACCCCTATCACGACACTTATACCATAGGCCTCATTACAGCATGCCAGGGCTGACATCTGGAATGTAATTAATATTCAACATTGTTAAGGTGAGCTTGGTAATCGCCACCCATGATCCACACTAAGAGTTCATGTAACATTGGCTTAGTCAGATCGATTGTGAATGTGCGGTGGAGAGAGATGACCTAGTTTGCATTTCTGTTCCTTCTTGGGTCTATGGCTGTGCTGTGACTTTCCAAAGTGCTCAGGAAATACTTTGTGCAGGAAAGGATGGGCACGTGAGTGTGGAGTGCATCGTTCTTCCTTATAAACTAATAAGGAGGCAAACCGATGCCAAACTCTCCCTGCCCTTGAGTCGATGATAGCGAGCCCACTGTGCGTTTCTGAGGCTTTCACTGTTAGGGGCTAGAAAGCCCAGTCTTTCTTCCAGGGAGTTACTGGTGGTTTCTAACTGCTGACCATGCAGATCGCAATCCCACGCATAACCACCAGGCTCCACGAACATCAATAAAGACATACATAAATAGCAAGGTTCCTGAAATAAAGGGAAATGTTTTAATATCACATGACTCTTCAGCAGTCTGAGTTGGTTAATTAATCTTTTCATTTATTTATTACGTAGACATTTGATATTGTCAAATAAAGTAACAGTCTAGCTTTACATGAGAAAGCCAGGTGAGGTGGGGGTGGCAATAGAAAATGAACATGAAGAAGATCTTCAGTTTTGGATAAAGTTAGTCTTCCTTTAAATTCCAGGTGTCTGTGATGTGTTATCCTAAGTCAAGGCTGCAAAGCGTCTGTGGCTTCCTATGTCTACTGCTGACCCTAACTGGAGAATTTCAACAAATAGAATTGCTTGGTGTGAGGACTTCTTCACTTGGGTTCTAGAGAAGTCTGGTTAACTAAATGTAGCTGGAGATGTAGTCTTCGTTGCTATTAGTGATGCTTGTAATTACTTGAAAGCAAGATCAGGCACCTTTCAAACACGATAGAAGCACTTCCAGGTTGGGAATAATGCTTTTTAACAAAAATGATGGTTAACATTTATCGAGAGCTTAGCACTGTTGTCCAGGTGGCCCTGTGCTAAGTGTTTTGTGTACATTATCTCATATAATACCCAAACGATGCTATGGATACATATTAACTAATTTGTGTGTGTGTGGTAAAATCTGCTGTTTCAAGCATGCACATTAACATATAGATATTGAGTAGCTATGTTGTGTCAGGCTCGGTGCTCTCTGCTGTAAGAAAACATAGTGATGCATTAAAGCTAATACTTTGTCTAGGCCTTATTTTCGGTTAATAAAATGATGCTTGGCCTAAAATTGCTATTTATTTCTTTTGGCCAAAGTATTACGCATAAAAAGATAATAATCCATGAAAACGCATAGCATGGTGTTACATTATTTTTGTTAGGAATATGGTAGGTGAAAATCAATGCATTTGAATTGTGGTGCTGGTGAAGAATGATGAGAGCATCATGGACCAAAAGGACAGACAGATGTGTCTTGGCAGAAGACAGCTGCAGTGCTTCTTAGAACCCAGGATGATGAGACTATGCCGGACACGTTGGACATGTTATCAGAAGAGACCAGACCCCAGAAAAGGACATCGAGCTTTGTAAAGCAGAGAGGCAGCAAAAGAGAAGGCCCTTGACAAGATGGATTGCCACAGTGGCTGCAACAACGGACTCCTACATGAGAGCAATGGTGAGGAGGGTGTGGGACCCGGCAGTGTTTTAGTCTGTTGAATGCAGAGTCACTATGAGTTTGAACCAACTCAAAGACACCTAACAACACCAGGAAGTAGAAAGTGCCCAATTTCAGAACAAAAGTGGCATTTCCTTAAGGGTGGAGAATGTATTTTACTAAGCCAGTAGTGGCTATATAATGGTTCAATAAGACAATTTTTTTTCTAAAGGGAAAGTATTATTCGAGACATTCATTTAGCTGGAACGACGGATTTCTCATCATAAATAAATAAAACAATTAGACAGACTTGCTGGTGCTGCAAAAGGTCAAGGGCCCAGCTACTAGCCAAAAGACTGGTGTTCTTTTTCAGCCAAAGGCCAAGTCTAGTGATTTACCTCTGGAGAAACTCTATAGAGCATAGTGCTACTCTGACACACATGGGTTGGAACCAAATCAACCAAGAGCTGGGTTAGGTAACAAACAGGAGCTAAACAATTGCCACTCATCATTTAAAAAATACTATTGGTACATAATATATAGATATAGATAGATTGATAGATAGATAGATAGATAGATAGATAGATAGATTATCTTACCTAAATACAGACTCGACTGCATAAGAACTCATCTCAAAGCATGTTGTCATACATACCAGAGTGTCATGCCGACCGACGACTTCAAACGAGAAGTCCACGCCTCCATTGCTCATTTCTGTCAGCACCTCGGAGATGGGCTTCTTGAAGTCCTGTGGGCTGATGCACTCAGTGGCCCCCACCTCTTTGGCTTTTGCAAACTTGTCTTTGTTGATGTCCACTGCGATGATCCTGGCTGCTCCTGCTGCCTTACAGCCCATGATCACACAAAGGCCGACTCCCCCAAGGCCAAACACAGCACAGGTGGATCCTTTGGAGACCTGCGGTCAGGAAAACACCAGCATGGATTGATGTGGACTTTCAGGAACAGTTTAAGCTGTATAAAGTGCCAGACTTCGTCCAGCTGAGGATAAAGGAGATAGTTGGACGCTCATGCCCAGCCTGCTATCAAATCTCTTTATGCTTCAGTTCCTTCATTTAAATTATGGAGGCTGATATACATCAGTGGTTCTCCAATGCTGCTGTACATTAGACTGATAGAAAAAAACAAACCCTCTCACTGCCATCGGGTTGATGTCCACTAATAGTGATCCTATAGGACAGGGCAGAACTGATCCTGTGAGTCTCTGAGACTGTGACTCTTTATGGGAGTAGAAAGCCCTGTCTTTCTCCTGTGGAGTGGCTGGAGGTTTCAAGTTACTGATCTTTCAGATCCAAGTCCAAGTTGTAAGCACTGCATCACCATGGCTCCTAGACTGACCTAGGGAGCATTAGGATATCTCAGTGTCTACAAGTTATGCCAGGTGGAACCTAGTCATCTGCGTTTTTAAACCTTCCCTTGTGACTCAGTGGGCAGCCCCGTTTGGGAGCCACCAGACTAGGTGACCTTTGAACTCTAATTGGCTCCACTGTTGAAAGATCTCAGTAGTTCAAATCCAGTGATATTCTGCTTCAGTTCATCAGATGTATAGAAATAATTTTGGGGAGAAATAAATATGTAAAAAAAATCCAAGAGACTTTAAAAATCCAACAATACCTCAATAATTTATTCCTTGGTTCATTAATTTTAGTAGTAATTGGAAGTATAATGAGAGTAGAAGTTAGTTGTGAAAAATAGAATTGCTATCCTTACCTTGAAACCTAACCTATTAATTGGGAAGATTCAATAGGCAACTTCGAGATAATATAACCTGAAACTATGTGATCTTAGCAGGTTCCCTTTTTCTCTGCTTTTGAAATCACCAATGAACAACAATTTAATAAAAATTTGGTCTACATTTTAATAATAACTAAAATCCACTACTGTGATTGATAGCTTCTGTTCTGTGTTATCTGCTCAAATAGATGATGCAATTGTACATGTACTATATACATATATACATAGATTATGCATGTATACTCTAATATATGTACTTTAGTACTAGAGTCACTAATTTGGAAAGGATATGCTTAAACGTGTTCAACTTGACTTTGAACTATTGCTTAAATCATGTTATCGTTAGGCAGTATTCAGTGCAGGTAAGCTTCCTCCTGTTCCATCGCTTGTTCACTCACTTAAATGTTATCAAAGCTGAAGGAGGTTCAACACCATTGTCCATGTCGTTGAGAACAATACAAAGTTAAACAAAGGCTGTTATATAAAAGTGCTTGTAATTAAGTAATATGATTTAGTATTCAGGAGGAGTTTTAAGAAAGATATTTTGGTCTCAATTATGAGCTTTAAAGCAATTAACTTTATGCCCCTGGGCCTCAGTTTCATACAATTTCCAAATCAAAGAGGTGATACTAGATTGTGGTTTCCAAATATTTAAAGAAAAGGTGTGTATGTGAAAGAGACAGAGAGAGAGAGAGAGAGAGAGAGAAGGCATCGTAGTAATATCTTTGAACAGTGTGCAGTAAGTACTTTACTACAGCTCCATCGCTTTTCTTTAGGGAGTTTACAGAGTGTGCTTGTGTTGGTGGCTGTAGATTGGAAGGTGCATCAGGCAAGGCTTTGGAATTGATTGTTGATCTTAGCATTGAAAGTAAGAGACCCATAGTCTAGATGCTCCTTAAAGGCAAACGTTCATTTTAATTACCTTTGCCACTCCAGAAACTAGCAGAACGTACTGTGCAGATGCACATAGGTGCTCTTTACATGTAGAATGAAAGACTAAATGAGCTCCCAGGTCCAAACTTTAATTCCAGGAAGATCGAATAGAGAAAAATAAATACACAAAAGGAATTTTAACCTTCACTTAATTAATAACATTTTTTCCATCGGTAGTAAGCTGGTGAATTTTCTAGGACACACTGTCCATTTTTATTGGGATCAGTTTTCTTCCTGAAATCAACACTCCCAATTCTGTGGTGTACTTCAGCCCTCTTTTGACAACAGGGGAAATGGTGTTACTACAATCTGTGAGGAATGACCAAGGACTCTTGAGAATAAAGGGTTCCTTTTGGTTGCTGACAATCTGAGCATCATTCGTATGATCACTGTGGTAGTCTGGGTACGTTAGAGAAACAAATCTACAGAAACTCATGTATAAGAGAGAATTTTATATAAAGGTTAAGTGCATATCAAGAAAACATCCCAACCCATTGCTGACCAAGCCCACAAGTCCAATATTAACCCATATGTCCTACACCAATCCATGAAGTTCTCCTCCACCCCACAAAACACACACTATGATGCTAACTGCAGGAGGAAGGCCAAATCAGTGAGTGTGAGCATCTCAGTGCTGGCAGGGGTCTCCACATGGCTGCTCCAGCACCCAGGGCTGCATCGGGGTAGGTCCATGCGGCTTTTCCTCAGGGATGTCTTGCAGGAAGTGAGGCTTGCCAACTGAAGCAGGGAGCTGGCTAAGGCAGCTGCCCCCTTGTCTGACCATCACAAAGCAAGAGACCTGAGAGCTAGAAAGGCGAGGTTCACCGAGCCATTTATCCCTTCACCCTTCCATTAACTCCACATGTGTTTATCGGCTAAGTTGGCACAATTAACTATCTCAATCACTTATTATCTTTCCTACCTTGGCAACATTGACAGCAGATCCATAGCCAGTAGAAAATCCACAGCCAATGAGGCAGACTTTCTCCAAAGGTGCAGCTGGGTCAATCTTGGCCACTGAGATCTCATCCACCACTGTGTACTCAGCAAAGGTGCTGGTGCCGATGAAATGGTGGATAGGCTTCCCTTTGCAGGTAAACCTGGTGGTTCCATCTTGCATGGTCCCCCGAGGCTTACCCAGACTGCACAGTGCAACAGAGACACACAAGCATGAGCCAGGAGCACAACAGATATGCCCTGACTGATTGTGCAAGGACGGTTTCAGAAACTTACTCGCTTTTCAAGCATAAGTTGCCTTCTGGGTGTTTACAAACGGCACATTTTCCACATTGGGGAGTAAAGAGCGGGATGACTTTATCACCTGAATGGGAATAAAACAAATTCTTACATTTATACCCAAGTATTAACAGAGCAAGCACTTCAAGCTTCCAAACCAAATTCACTACCATTCAGTGGATTAGTCATGCATCCTTGCCCCATGTCCCAACGACAGTTTAGTCACCACTATGCCTTTCAACACGGTTTTCACTTTGGTTTATAGGTGGGAGCTTCCAAACGTTTGGGGAGATGTAGACTTGAAATGGAATAGAATTTTCCCACTAACTTTTTGAAGTCACCTGGTATACTCTTGAAGATTCCCAAAGAAGATATATAAATGTGGGAAACACCAGACTTCTAACCATTTCTATTGTATTAGTAAGTATTTTTTATTGTTTAGCTATATTTAAACTTATAGTTTTATACATGTCTTGGCATTTTATTCTTAACTAATTAAACCTTTAATGTTTTCACTATGAGTGTAAATGTAAGTTATAGTTGCAAAAGGGCTGCCAATGTTTCACTAGATGTCTTGGATTTTGTAATTGATTGGGCTATGGTAAATAAAATTTTTGATAATCATCCTTTATAGAATTTCTTGATTTTGTTCAAAGTCAGTATGCTTATCTATATTGAATGTCTATTGTTGTTGTTCTTCATTTTTCAAGGAAAAGTAAGAATGGGGCAAAGGAATTCCTTTGAAAGCCTCAGTCTTCAGCAGTGAGGTAGGTACTTTGTTAAAGAATAAGAACTGACTTTCAAAGGGGTAGAAGGGGAACCCCTCTCAACAATCAACATATACCTCCCCACCCCACCCCCGGGGGGACAAACAACAGAAACGTGAGTGAAGGGATACAGCAGACGGTGTAAGATATGAAAATAACAATCATTTATAATTTATCAAGGGCTCACGAGGGTGGAGGAGGGAGGGAAAAAAAGAGGAGTTGATAACAAGGGCTCAAGTAGAAAGAAAATGCTTTGAAAATGATGATGGCAACATATGCACAATTGATGTATGGATTATTATAAGAGCTGTAAAACCCCCAATAAAATGTTTAAAAAATAAAATCAAAGAACTGACTTTCAAATATTTCTAATCAATTTATGAATTATCTATTTTTCTATATAAATGATCTATTTTTCTTCTTGTAGTGGACAGAGCAACAACAAAAAGTAAGAATATAATTTTGTTATATTTTTAAAGGAAATCCAAAAAGTTGAAACTAAACCAGGCTATTTATTATTATCTTTTGTTCACAGATTAGTGGTTAAATGGGAGTGGAGTGTGGGTGACTATACTGACTAAAATGATTTTCAGAATTAAGAAAAAAATATTTTTAATTACTTTTACAATCTATTTTACAAGACCAAAATAAAGAGAGAGAGAGAAAATCCCAGTAAACCATCTTATTTAATTGAAAGTAGGTATGTGAAAATAATAGCATACTATTTGTGCTATCTCCTGATGTCTCTCCTGATAACATGTACGAGAACAAGGTCTCATCATCCTTGTATCTAAGGAGCATTGATTAGACTTCTTCCAAGACAGATTTATTTGTTGTTCTTTTGGCAGTCCGTGGTACTTTCCATATTTCTCTCCGGTACCGTAACTCAACTGCAGCAATTCTTCGTCAGTCTTCCTTATCCAAGGTCCGACTTTCACATGGATAAGAGGTGATTGAAATACTGTAGCAATTTAGTCTCTGGTGAATCACCTCTGGCCATGGACCAGGGATGTGAATAACCTTGCTATTGTGCAGAGTGCAATTAAAAGTGGGTTGTTGCAGAACTAGTTTAAAATCTAACACCTTATCATTTGTTTTCCCTTTCAACCCATTTTAAATTTGTTTTGATTTTTAAGGTTTCTGCTTTCTTTTTGACTGAAACTTTTCTCTGGTGCATTTTGTTGTTGCTTTTCTTTTTGCTGCTCTATGTGTGTTTTCCATATATGAAGTCCAGGATCGGTAAATCTTCAGAGATGGGAACTAGATTAATGGCTTATTGAGGGTATAGGAGGAGAGGATGGAGGGAAATGGGAACCTAATAGCATTGAGTACAAGAAGGAAGAAAACATCATGGAACTGATTTGGGTGATGATTATGCAACTTGTTTTGATATGACCTAACTATTGAAGTGCATGATATGAGAATGAGATGTCAATAAACCTATTAAAATATATAAATAAGGGGCTTAACAGGGAAAAAAGGAAATTACCATGGGTTGGGTGAGGCACACCTTAGTCCTCAAAGTAACAGCCTGGTTTTTCAACACTTTAAAGGGGTCTTGGGCAGCAGATTTATATACGATGTTTGATCTCTTGACTACTCCTTTTATGATCATTGATTGTGGATCCAAGCAAAACGAAATCCTTGACAACTGCAATCTTGTCTCCATTTATCATGAGGTTACCTATTTTCCAGTTGTGAGGAATTCTGTATTTTTTACATCAAGTTGTAATCCATACGGAAGGCTGCCATCCTTGATTTTCATCAGCAAGCACTTCAAAGCAAGCTCCTCACTTTCAGCAAGGAAGTTTGTGCCTTCTGCACATGCAGGTCGTTAATAAGCCTTACTCTAACCCTAATGCTGAAGTCTTCATGTCGTTCAGCTTCTCTGATGATTTGCTCAGCATACAGATAAATAAGTATGGCGAGAGGATACAACCCTGATGCACACCTTTCCTGACTGTGAACCATGCAGTACTCCCTTGTTCTGTTCCCACAAGGCAGGTTCCATCACTTGTGTGTTGGGTTGTCCTGCGGTAGTGGCTTGTGTGCTGCTGTGCTGCTGGCAGTCATGTCATGGGTGTTTCAAATACCAGCAGCGTCACTCATAGGGAACAGGTTTCAATACTAAGAACATATGTTATATGTTTTAAATCCCAACTAATCAAAAAAGAAACACACACAAAAATACTAAGAACAGACTATGAATAATGAATAGGTTGTCCATGTCTGTTGAATCAGCTGCTAAAAACTTTATGAATTGCATCAAAACAGTAAAATTTGGATGAAATCATTGTTAAAAATAAATTAGGCACCAATTTGTAATAAGATATATAAAACTAGGGTTAAAGATAATAAAACATATGTAGTTTATTGCAGGATGTCTTCCACCAACCAAAAAAGAAAGGAAGACAGAGAAACGGAGGGAGGGGAGGGAAGGGAAGAGCGCAAGAGAGAGAGAGAGAGAGAGAGGGAGAGAGAGAGAGAGAGATGTCATTAAGGTCATTCAGGCTTATATAGCGTTTTCAATAGCTGATGTTTGGAAGTAGATCACTAAGCCTCTGGGTAGACTCAAAATTCCAATGTTTTAGTTAGCAGTCAATTACATTAACTTTTCCTCCTAGGAATTCTGTAATGCTAGCTCTCTTTAATTTCCATTTATATGGATTTTTGTTGCTGTTGCTCTATGTTCAAGAAGGGAGGCCATAGAGGAAGAGGAAATGAAATGGACTTCACTTCCTGTCTAAGAAGAGGCCATGTTGACTTAGTCCTCACCTCACAGCTCTGCTTGGTAAACTCAGCAAAGAACAGTTTCCCTATTCTCACGCGCAGTTCTGTTTTGAATCCTGACACAGAAGGCAGTGCTCTCTGTCTGAGGTTATGAACTCCATGATGTTAGGCTTGGCATCTTCACATATCCCTAGGATCTAATCAACACCCAGTTGTTTATGTAGCAGATAGTGGTTGGAGAAAACAAATGCGCCCCTGAAGATATACATACCAAACTGCATGAAGGAAGCCAGGTAAGGAGAGAGCAAAGAAGGAAGTCCTGGTTCATGACTCAACTTAGCTATTTGCTCCTGCAATGAGCTCGCAAGAGGTCTTTCATCTTTCATTGCCTACATTTCTTCATCCTTGATGGATGCTCCTGTGGGACCTATACTCAGACACATTCCTTGAGGGTAAATCCTATACCTGGTTTTACTGTAGTCACATTTTCTCCAATGCTTTCCACAATGCCAGCTGCTTCATGGCCTACGATCACGGGAAAAGGCATGGCCAGTTGTCCACTAACAACATGTTCATCTGAACGGCAGACTCCTGTGGCCACCATCTACAGGGTAAGGAGAGAATGGTTGAATTTTTAGAAGATTACGGCATGCAGATGAACTTAATGTTCAGAATCCTCTGAAATGGATCTTATCAAGGGTTTTGCTAATCCCAACTGTCAATTTCTGTTTGTATGAAGAAGCAAAACAGAATGAAACAAAGGAGTGACCAACGCACAGAGCCAAAGGACACTCTTGAAAAAGAAAAGGCATTGGAGCAACCGGAAAAAAAGGAGGGAAATCACATGGAAGGTGAATAACACCCTGCTTAAAACTACTGGATAAATGAAGAAATAAGAAAGGAAACTAAAACATTTCTTTAAACACGTGAATAGGAAAACACAATATACCCAAACTTTGATGACACAGCAAGAGCAGGCAATTTATAGCAATAAACACACACATTAGACGAGAGAATGAACCAAAATCAATACCTTAGCCAACATCATGGAAATGAGAAAACATTGTGGTAGTTACATAATCTGGTGCCAATTTGGGACTTCAGAGGATTAAGAGTGAAGGGGTGGAGTCTAGTTTGTCAATCGGGTCAGAGCCAATGAGGCTTCTGTGTGGACATAGACTTCCCTGAGAATTCTGGAAACTCCTGGATTTCCTCCTTGGAGGAGAGAGGTACATACACACACACTCTCTCTCTCTGCTTACTCCCTGAGAGATGTTCTATTGAAAAGACACATGGCACTACACTGATAGACCCTGCGCCCTGGGACCTGGAGGAGCCTCGTAGAGACCTCTACCAGAGCTTCTTACTGCCACAGGATCCAAAAGACTCTGAACCCACTGGTCTGTGATCTTTCTGTATTTAGCCTCATTGCATGTGTTTCGTGAGTCTGAAGAGGACTTTATAGATTGGTATCAGACATATGGGCTAATATCAGACTTATGGACTTGATCTGTACTGGGCTGGGATGTTTTCTCAATATTCAATTGCTCTTGTATATAAACCTCTTTATTATACACATATGTGTCTCTATGAATTTGTTTCTCTAGTCTACCCAGACAAACACAAATATCAACCAACCAAAAAATCAACTTCACTGCCATTGAGTCCATTCTAACGCGTAGCAACCCTAAAGGGCAGGATAGAACTGCCCCTGTCAGTTTCTGAGATTGTAACTCTTTATAGTGATGAAGCACTGGAGGCACTCATTTGTCTATGCCAGGAAATTTGGAAGATAGCTACTTGGGCAACTGACTAGAAGAGATAAATATTTGTACCCATTCCAAAAAAAAGGTGGCCCAACAGAATGCTCAAATTATAAACAATATCATTGATATCACTTCTGAGTAAAATTTTGCTGAAAATCATCTAACAACAGTTGAAGCGGTCCATTGACAGAGAACTGCCAGAAGTTCAGGTCAGCTCAAAAGAGGACGTGGAACAAGGGCTATCATTGCTGATGTCAGATGGATCGTGGCTCAAACCCCAGAATGCCCAAAAGATGGTGTATTAGTCTAGGTACTTTGGAGAAACAAATCCACAGCGACTCATGTATAAGAGAGAGTTTTATGTAAAGAAAAGGTGCATCATGAAAACATCCCAACCCAATGCTGCCCAAGCCCACAAGTCCAACATTAACCCATTAACTCCACACCAGTCCACAAAGTCCTCCACCTCACAAAACAGAGGCAATAATGCCGACTGCAGGAGGAAAGCTGAGTCAGTGAACGAACAAGCATCTCAGCACTAGTAGGGGTCTCCACACGGCTGCTCCAGCACCCAGGGCTGCATCGGGATAGGTCCATGTTGCTTCTCCTGGATGTTGTCTTGTATGAAGTCAATCTTGCAAGCTGAAGCAGGGAAATGCTAAGGCAGCTGCACCCGGTGCAACCATCACAAAACAAGAGACCCGAGAACTAGAAAGGCGAGGCTTCACCACCCATTTATCCCTCCACCTCTCAACCAGCCCCACATGTGATTATCGGCCAGGCTGGCACAGTTAACTAACTCAGATGGTTACTTGTGTTTTATTGTCTATGCCAAGCATTAGACTGTGTGTATAATAACAAACTATGGATAGCCTTGAGAAGAATGTGAATTCCAGAACACTTGATTGTGCTCATGTGGAATTTGTACATAGATCAAGAGACAGTGGTGTGAAAAGAACAAGGGAATACTGCATTATTTAATGTCAGGGAAGGTGTGCTATATGGTTGTATCCTCTCACCATATTTCTTCAATCTGTTTGCTGTGCAAATTATCAGAGAAGCTGGATTATATGAAAAGGTATGTAGCATCAGGATTGGAGGAAGGTTTATTTAACAACATGAGATATACAGATGACACAACCTTGCCTTCTGAAAGTGAGGAGAACTTGAAGCACTTGCTGATGAAGATCAAGGATTGCAGCCTTCAGTCTGGATTACAACTCAATGTAAAGAAGACCAAAAGCCTCACAACTGGACCAATAGGTAACATTATAGTAAATGGAGAAAAGGTTGAAATTGTCAAGGATTTCCTCTTGCTTTTATCTACAATCAATGCTTATGGAAGCAGCAGACAAGAGATCAAAAGACAAGTTGTATTAGGTAAATCTGCTACACAAGACTTTTTAGAAATGTTGAAAAGCATGCATGTTCCTTTTAGGATTAAGTTGTGCCTGGTACAAGCCATAGACATTGCATTGCCTCATGCATGTGAAAGTTGGACACTGAGTAAGAAAGACAGAAGAATAATTGATACATTTGAGTTGTGGTGCTAGAATATTGAAAGTACCATGGACTGCTGAAAGGACAAGTAGATCTGTCTTAGAAGAAATACAGCCAGAGTGCTCTGTTCCTTAGAGGCAAGGATATTGAGGCTTCACTTTACAGACTTTGGACATGTTGTCAGGAAAGACCAGACCCTGGTGAATATTTGGTGTGGTAGCTACATTCATGTCAACTTGAAGTGTAGGAGTGACGTTTAGCCTGTCAATCTGGGGTCTCACTTAGAGGTGCGAATGAGATATATAGGTCTATGGAGACCAGTCTTTCTCTGTGTGTGTCTCCTTTCACATTCCTGCATGCTGAACACCCAGAGAGCCTCTGGAGCGCCACCATGTTTTCCACCGACCTTGAATCCATATGACTGCTTGCACTGGCCTGTGACATTCCTGCAGTCTGCATCATTGCATGTGAGTTGTGTGAATCTGAAGAGGGACTTATGGACTAGGTTCAGACTTATGGACTTGAGTTGGACTGGGCTGGAGTGTTTTCTTGATGTGTAATTACTTCTTGATATAAAACTCTTTCTTGCACATACAGTGAACCCTCGTTTATCGCGGTTAATCGGTTCTAGACCCTACCGTGATAAATGAAATTCCGCGAAGTAGGATTCCTTATTTGTAAATCAAA